ACGCAGTCTGCCTCCTGCCCGGATCCACAGCTGTTTCAATACATTGCGATGTTTTGGTGCTAAATTCGTAAACACAGTAATTACTATTTAACATTACCGTGTATTGAACTGCTTTTTCCATCAATTTGTTCTAAAACATGATGTTTTGGTGCTTAATTTGTAAAATCAAAATGTAATTTGATGAGCTTATCCAGCGTTCTGCTGGCGCATTTATGTTGAATAAGCTAGACTCTACTGTATATGTTCATTCATAATGTTTTTATGGCAAAGGAGGCAAAACTTTTGGGCCCATCCTCATATTATGTCTTCTTAATATTTAATTGGTTTCATATCTGGAGAGAGATAGCTAGCTACTGGTGCAACAACCCTACTCTGATCATGGAAGACTGTAGAATTGAGCCACAACTTCCAGAATATGACTTCCAGTATGACTTGAAGATATATTAGTTGGAGGATTCTGGATACTACAGTCTGAAATTAATTTTTCAAAGCTTTAGAGATACTGGGTTGTTGTAGGTTTTTTCGGGCTATATGGCCATGTTCTAGAGGCAGTCTCTCCTGACGTTTCACCTGCATCTATGGCAAGCATCCTCAGAGATAGTGAGGTCTGTTGGAACTAGGAAAGTGGGTTTATATATCTGTGGATACTATTTTGGACTTCCAGGAACCTCATAATGACAAACACAGAACCAATCCCTAAGAAAAATTTGATGTTCCTTAACAAGAATTTGGAATTCTTGGGGAAAACCAACTTCCACGTTGGATGCCCACCTTCACCTCCACATCAGATCCAGAAATGCCAAATATAGCCCTGAACATAGAAACCTAGAAACATGCAAACATGAAGCACAAAGAGGTTTGGACCTTGCCAAGATGACATTCACAGAACAAGAGAGCTCATAATGAACATTTCATATTGTGTCAGATCTGTGGGTCATCCAACATCCAGTGAGAAAAAGAGGGAAAAAAAAGGATGGTGTATGTTCAAAGAAGCTATGGAAAAACTCAACATTTAAACCCACAGGATTCATTCCTCCCCCAAACCTCATAGAAACATCAAATAACAAGTGAAATTAAATAAACAAGTATATATATTTATATTTAAAAATGAAGGTCATACACAAACAACGTTTTGAATACTTTTTTTTTAGAAAATGTATTTTCTTCTATTTCCCACTTTTTTGGGTATTCAGACTCTTAGCAAGTGAACATTCAAGAACATATACAAAAATAACCATGTCCACCAAATGCACAAGATCCCCATCATTTGTGTACTTGGGAAAAAATTAAACCATTTTTGACACTGAAAAGTGTTAACAAAATTCTAATGGACGGATATATAACATAGGTAATGCTATGCGAACACTGTAAATCGGTTACAAAGACATTCTGGTAAAAACATAAGGGTTTTTTTTTTTAATAAAAGGAAAGTAATAAACAAGCTACACCTAAAAGTTTAAGGCAGTCAGAAAACCTTTTTTTAAAACCCACAATAACCCACAAATCCAAAATATCCAAAAACAACATATCCTTATGGATGTTCACAGTTTTATTTCCAATGAGTTGTGGGTGGAGGGAGACAAGTTAGAACCCTTCATAAATGTTTCAAGACCAAACTGTTGGACTCTAGCTCAGTGGTTCTCAACCCTCCTAATGCCGTGACCCCTTCAAACAGTTCCTCAAGTTGTGGTGACCCCCAACCATACTACTTCATAACTGTAATGTAAATATCTGATATGCATGATGTATTTTCATTCACTAGACCAAATTTGGCACAAATACCCAAAACACCCAAATTTGAATACTGGTGGGAAAGGAGGGAGGATTGATTTTGTCATTTGGGAATTGTAGTTCCTGAGATTTATAGTTCACTTACTATCAAAGAGCATTCTGAACCCCACCAATGATGGAACTGAACCAAACTTGGCGCACAGAGCTCCCATGACCAACAGAAAATACTGGAAGGGTTTGGTGGGCATTGACCTTGAGTTTTGGAGTTGTAGTTCACCTACATCCAGAGAGCACTGTGGGCTCAAACAATGATGGATCTGGGCCAAACTTGGCATGAATACTCAATATACCCAAATGTGAACACTGGTGGAGTTTAGGGAAAATAGACCTTGACATTTGGGAGTTGTAGTTGCTGGGATTTATAGTTCACCTACAATCAAAGAGCATTCTGAACCTCACCATTGGGACACACTTCCCACACAGAACCCCTATGACTAACAATACTGTGTTTTTGAATGGTCTTTGGCGACCCCTCTGACATCTCACGGCCACCCCAGTGGTCCTGAAACCAGGTTGAGAAACACTGATCTAGCTAGACAGGTATTAATAGTACTATTAATGCAAATGTCTGTGTTTTTTCCTACTACTTTGATGCAAAAACATAACAAAAAAAATTATAACAGGTTGACTTCAATGAATGGCAAGTCATAAAAATACAACCCATACAGACAGGCATCACGAATGCTCAGAACACATGTCAGTTTCTCACATTGCAAAATAAAGCATTTTACAAGCTGAACTACCACCTTATTTAAGACAACAATTCATGGTTCCAGCCCCTCCTTGCCCATGTTCAGAATCTCATTGACTTCATGGGCTTCCCTGTTTACTTCAATAGAAGGAAATCCATCAAAGGGATATAGCCTTTCCATTAGAGTAAACCAGGCACAGGACTTTAGACCTGGACACTCCATGTTCATGCTGGAGCTCCATACAACACAAAAAGAGGTCACGAAATAGAAGCAAACAAGGTTCAATGGCTGGATTCCATGTACGAAGCTTGGCTTGTGGTTGAAACAGGACTCTCTTATGGAAAACGAATGCAATGTCAACGTCTACCAGATAACAATATAAGCAAGCAGGTATCTTACGGAGTCCCAAAGAGAGGTTGGAGCTTTAAGGGTGGGTTATAAACACTTCACACATTGAGTTTTAGAGGCGAGAAAAAAACCAGCACAGGTTTGTCTCTATGAAACAACAATGTACTACCACAATAGCACTGACACTGGTTTATGTACTAGACCAAGTATGGGCAAACTTGGGGCCTCCAGGTGTTTTGGACTTCAACACCCACCATTCCTAACAGCCTCAGGTCCTTTCCTTTCCCCCTCAGCCGCTTAAGGGGCTGAGGGGGGAAAGGAAAGGACCTGAGGCTGTTAGGAATGGTGGGAGTTGAAGTCCAAAACATCTGGAGGCCCCAAGTTTGCCCATACCTGTATTAGACTCAACATTTGTCCATTAACCTTGCTATTTCCTATTATCACCAAACTAGCTAAAATGCATGTATGGATTACATGATCTATGGATCTCACTAAGTGGTAAACATCTAATAGGCCTAAATACGTTCTTTGCTCAGTCTTTGTGACTGAAACCATATTCAGAGCCAGTATTTAATGTACATTTTGTTGAATCTCTCTTCCAGACCTTTGGCACAGACTCTTTCCTACTGAGATTATGTTGTGTCTCAAGCCTTGCCCACCTTTCTGCTTTCAATAAAAGCACTACCTTCCTTTGGTTGGTTTTACCAAATTTGGAGATTGTTTATTCGCTTTTTTGGCATCTAAGGACTGAACTGGTTGGTGATTATCTTTCTGGAAGGGGATTTAGGAGGGATTTAGTGGCAGGTTGGCAAACCTTCAAGTAAACAAGACCGTAAACACTTAATTCTCCACTCTTAATAGGAGGGAAATGAAGCCAGCTCCCAAGCTGGATGTGGTAAAGATGTCTAATCTCACTACTAAGCAAAGCTGTCTCTAACTTGGTATCTTCACTACTCCCCCATTTTTGGCACCATTCGATGTGAGAAACAGTCTGCTCTCCCAATGGATCCTGCTATCATTTAGTACTAGTGATCTGAAAATACCTTGGAGCTAAAGGGAAGCCATGCAAGTTATATTTGCAGTGAGTGAGACATAACCTGGGCTTTTTGTTCCTTTTTAAAATTCACTAGAGAAGTGGTTCTCAACCTGTGGGTCCCCAGGTGTTTTGGCCTATAACTCCCAGAAATCCCAGCCAGTTTACCAGCTGTTAGGATTTCTGGGAGTTGAAGGCCAAAACATATGGGGACCCACAGGTTGAGAAGCATTGCACTAGAGGGTTTCCAAACGGGCTCAGTATTGGTCGGTGTATGCATCCAATGTGGTCAACTGGCATGTCACCACTAGTGCCAAGGAAAGCAAGCCTCCGAGGACATAAACCAAGGCAGAAATGATCATGAAGCAACATGTAGCAGTCTTTTCAAGCAGGAGGCATTAGAGCAGGCATCGGCAAACTTCGCCCCTCCATATGTTTTGGACTTCAACTCCCAAATTGTGGGAACTGAAGTCCAAAACACCTGGAGGGCCAAAGTTTGCCCATCCCTGCATCAGAACCTTATTATAGTAGAGTCTTGCTTATCCAACCTTTGCTTATCCGACATTCCGTCTTATCTGACATTCTTACTGGACACCCCCTTTTCCTCCAGCATTTCCCCTTCAATTAAAGGAGCGCCCCCCCAAATCTATCTACATTCCCACTAGGTGAAAAAGTCAAAACAAGGAGGAGGGGGGGAGGGGGAAAAGAGGCAGGACTAGAAGCATCCTCCCTCCTTCCCTCTGTGATTTCCATGCTCCTCTTCTGTATCTGGGCACTTCTTGCTGGGCCACTCTTGCTCTGAGGTATTGCCTTGCCTTAATCCTTTGAGTCCCTATTGTTAGTATTCTAGGTGCCTAGTGCCACGTCAGACGGCTAAGAGTAGGAGACTCCGTATTATTCGACATTTTCGTTTATCCAACATTCTCCTGGCCCATTTATGTCGGATAAGCGAGAGTCTACTGTACTTACAAAGTCACTGATGATGTACTTCCACAAGCTTCACCCTCAAATAGCTGGGTAAATATCATTTTCTAATTATTTTTCCTATGAAGGATTTCTGTCTAAATATGTGACTCATCAAACTATTTGGATTGTATCAAATGGACCAAAATCACAACTTAAGACCAGGCACATCATTATTTATCTACTGATTATATTATCTACCAAACACTGGACAGGGGACTATGGGAATAGCTGACCTGACATAGAAAGGGTTAAATGAAGTTAAAAAAACTGTCCAGTCTCTAAAGAAAGGAACCATACAATTAAACATACATGAAATAGGAATTTTTTTAAAAAACCACATGCATATTTAAAATAAGTCGGGGATCACTAAGTTGGGATCACTAAGCCACTTTTGGGTAACAACCACCAGTGAAAGCTTATGTTGTGATCAAAATCCAAATATCAAACATCACTAAGAAACTAATGGGAAATGCTAGCAAGTAATGAAACCCATTTGGAAATCATATTAACTGCACAATCAGTCCTTCAGTGAGACTCATTTGGAAAAGTTATATATTTTTTGGAATATCAGAATCTTCATGGAGGATTGTAGATTGAAAAGGTTATGCAGACTGAGCATCCCTAATCTGAAATTCTGAAATCCTCCAAAATTGACTATATGGGTGGGTGAGATAGTGATACCTTCTGCTTTCTGATGGTTCAGTGGACACAGGCTTTGTTTCATCCACAAAATTATTTAAAATTACCTTCAGGCTATATATATATAAGGTGTATCTCATTACCTATGCACATAGGCATTCCAATGTTTGTTTGTTTTTTAAAAAACACTGATCTCAAACACTTCTGGTCCCAAACATTTTGGATAAGAGAAACTCAATCTGTAATTTCAAGATATCCCTTGTACATATGCTTAGAATTGCATTCTTGGACCCTAAACTTGTTTAGAAGTAATCTCCAATGAACCAGTTGGGATTTTTGAATGGAGGAATGTAGGATTAGACAACCTACACTTGAAACTTCAATGGGACTGACTTCCCAATTGTGTTTATAATTAGTGGGCACAATTTACCATTCCAACCACACTTGTGGAAATTCAATTCAACAAAGCATACGTACAAGTGAGCAACCTTAAACCTTAGAGCACCTAACTGTGCATTAAAAGCAATAGAATTTGTTGATTGTAACTCAGTAGTCCTGCTGATTTCCAATAATGTTGAAAATCTGCTAATCCCTTTAACTTGTTCTGTCTGATTATGAGTCAATCATAGTAGTGTAAGAACACCTCTGCGCCCCTGCACATGGCAAGCACCCCTATGTGCAAAACAGCCCTCTCGCTTCGTTCAGAAAGTGGACAGAAGGTCTGTTGCAGAAATACTTACATGCAAAGGGTGAAAGCACATCCAAAAGCTTTGAGGAGAGACATTATTCCGTGCAGAGCCAAGGATTACTGTGAAGAAAGGCACAGATACGAAAAGGAAAAGCAAGTGCAGTAGTAAGCAAACTAAACATGGTCCAGGGAGTGACTTAAAAGCAAGGAAGTGACTTAAACGTGGCTCTGTGGCAACAAAGAAGGGCCTTCATCCAACCTTGAGGATCCATCATCTTCCATGAATGCATCACAGGATCCAGAACTGAAGGTGCAACTCTAATACAATGGAACCTGCATCCAATTGTGGATGCTTTCTTTGGCTGAATCCACACTGCCATATAATCTTGTTTCTGAATCCAGATTATATGACAGGATAGATGGGATCTATGTATACTAACCTTGCAACTGAACAATGCTCATAACAGCATTCACATTCTGGTATAACAAGGGATTGGATAACTAGTTTTTGAATTTCCTATTTATGAGGGATGGAATTGTGGAGATTTCTTCCTTTGTCTAAAACCATATTTCTGTCTCTTTTAGCTTAATGGGCCAGAAAGAAAGATAAATTAATACAGAAGAGAGAGAGGGCCAAATGAGAGATGCATTTCAAAGTCAACAGTGACCTTTTTCAACCAGATACCCTCCAGATGATGCATGGATATCAACCTGCATCATCTACCAGTGGTTCCCAAACTTTGGGCCTCCAGGTGTTTTGGACTTCAGCTCCCACAATTCCAAACAGCTGGTAAGCTGGCTTTGATTTATGGGAGTTGAAGTCCAAAACACCTGGAAAGCCAAAGGTTGAGAACCACTGATAGTCCCTCAACAGAATTAATGTGGGAACTGGGCACAACCAAATAAACACCTGGAACATCTCTCAAGGTTCTCTTAAACTAAGGAGGAAGAAACAACATTAGCAGGGAGGCACGAAAGCCCATTGAAAATAGGACACGCACAGACAACGCTAGTGGAAGCACACTGCACAAGCATTCAAGCTCTGGAAAACTTGAACATAGATTTGCACAATAAGCTGCAGAAGTACATGGCTGGAAAACTGGCTCCTTCAACATTAGGCTAAGAGCATTTAAGGGTTAATTTATTTGTGGCTAAGAGGATTTCAGGTTAACTGCTTTGTGGTGGCCCCATCTGCACAGCACAAAACCAGCACTTTGTTGTTCCTTTATATGGGGAGTTTCTAGCCACTTTGTTATCTCCATAAGAACCATGTTTAGGCGGTGGATGGTCAAAGCCCCTTGCAGACCAGCCTTTGTGTTAATTTACAGCAAAGGGCAAGGAAAGGAAATAGGCATCTGAGTGGTTGGCAGGAGCAAGCGAGGTTGCAATGTGAAAGGTGGGCAGAAACTCAGGTGATGAGTGCCATGTTAAAAGAGTGCCTTAAGAAGTTAAGAAACAGGAGACTACCTAGCCAGGAACAGAGGGGAAGCTGGCAGTACATCGGCCGCAGAGAAAAGTGTTCCAGGAGTCAGAGGGCAAACAGCGGCCGCCATCCCTTGGAATGTATCAGAAAGGAAAAGATTCTGTCCAGCACAGAAAAATACAAACAATTAGTCAGTTTCACGCCACTTTAAAAAAAATAATAATAAGGGGATAGAAGCCTGTAACAGGTGAGGCTGCATTTCTACATCTCTGACTTGGTTGGCAGGTACCACTTAGGAAGAAAAAGTTGTCCATCTTGAATCACAATCCTACATCTATTTCTACAGGTATAAGCATGTATTAATGTGGTTCAACTCTCATGGTATTTATCAAAAACTCTGGGAAATGTGAGAGATCCTTTTGCATCTACTCCAAGTTTCTCAAATTCCGTGGTTTCCAGTGGTTCTCAACTTGTGGGTCCCCAGATGTTTTGACCTTCAACGCTCAGATATCCTAACAGCTGGTAAACTGGCTGAGATTTCTGGAAGTTGTAGGCCAAAACACCTGGGGATCCACAGGTTGGAAACCACCGGGATAGATCAATCTGATGAAGATGTGATGATAATAAGGTAAATAATAGGACTGAAAGCCAACTAAATTGGAAAACAGGTTGCCCACCCATAGCCCTTTGTTAGCCTGCTAAAGTATCATCTTCATTACACTCAAGTATCTTCTCCATTTTTATTTAGCAGGTCAGATGTTGCTGCAATCCATCAAATACAACTGCAAAGAAAGCAAGGGATGTTGTCACCCCAGAGACTGCAAAATCCCAAGGCTTCACTTTCCCACTATGTTGACTTTTTCCATTGCTAATTCTTAATTCATGGGCCTTGAAGGCCATTTCTAACATTCCCACAATCCTGGCCTTCTTCATTAATGTTTGGGTGCTCTTCCAAATTCATGAACAATACCATTCATCTTTTTAGTTATACACTTTTAATTTTAGAGGTACAAACAACATTGTAAAAAAAATAGTGCCTCCATCAATCAGCCAGGTGCCTGAATTGATTGGTTCAGACTCAATTGAAACTTCAATGACCCAACAATCCCTGATCAGAGACCTCCAATAATGAGGAAACGATTGGATAAACAGGCTGGAATCTGAGGACCCTTCCACAAAGCTATATAATATCAAGGCAGAAAATCCCACAATATCTGCTTTGAACTGGATTATCCGAGTCCACACTGCCATATATTCCAGGTCAAAGCAGATAATGTGGGAGCTGTGTGGAAGGGATCTAAGTGTTAATGATTTCGATTTATTTTTTTTGTCGTGTCAGGAGCGACTTGAGAGCCCCCGGTGGCACAGTGGGTTAAACCCCTGTGCCGGCAGGACTGAAGACTGACAGGTCGCAGGTTCAAATCTGGGGAGAGGCGGATGAGCTCCCTCTATCAGCTCCAACTTCTCATGCGGGGACATGAGAGAAGCCTCCCAGAAAGATGATAAAAACATCAAATCATCTGGGCGCTCCCTGGACAATGTCCTTGCAGATGGCCAATTCTCTCACACCAGAAGCGAAACGATTTGGATAAACGGCTGTTACAGAAGCAACTAGATTGCTCTTCCACAAAGTTTCCTCCTCCCAGCATTCCAACGTGTTTAGAAATGGGAAGACTTTGAAGATCAGGATTGTGATGTTAATATTATTAGGATGTTGGGAATGCATGTACATCATAGCCATTCAAAACCTGGTGCCCTTCAAATGTGTTCTGACTTCAGCTCCTATGACCCCTCAACTCAGTGTTTCTCAACCTGTGGGTCCCCAGATGTTTTGGCCTTCAACTCCCAGAAATCCTAACAGCTGATAAACTGGCTGGGATTTCTGGGAGTTGTAGGCCAGGTTGAGAACCACTGCCTTAACTGGTGTTAGCTGGGACTTTTGAGAGCCTAATCCAAGACATTTGGAGGGTATCAGGTTAGGAATGTCTGATGTACAAAAATTGACAAGGAACGCTGAATCTGTGCATCAAACACCTGCTGTGTCTATAGATACTTCATAATTTGTTTTTATTTAAGATCAGGTGAAATGAGAAATACAAGTCATCATAATTCATAAGGTGACGCCTCTAAGGGAATCACTGTATTTATCCTTTTCAGAATACCAAATTCTTCGGTAACTCCTCAACTCCAGTTTAATTAACATTCCAAGGATTATTCAACTGTGCTAACTGGTGTTCCTATGCTGTCTTTCTGTCAAAGCCCATCCTCCATCAGTCAAGCATTTCAAGCTCTGGTTTGGGCATGCACTGCATTCATCAGTTACACCAATTCCGCAGAGGTGTTTGGCTAGAAATAAATAAATCCTGCTCTGAGAAAAGTTAAGGGCAGACCAAAGTAGTATTGTTGAAGAAACACACAACATGTGACTCATTATGGAAAGCCATGCAAGGTCAGCAAGAGGCATGCAGTGTGACTTGTAGGAGGTTACAAACTGTTTCTAGAAGAAACCTTAAACAAGGAATGTGCAACATGGGGTCCTCCAGATACTGTTGAACTACAACTCCCATCAGCCATAGCAAAACCAACCAATAGTGGAAACTAATGGGAATTCCAGTGACACCATCTGGAGCAGTAGATCCAAACCTTTGGTCCTCCAGGTGTTTTTCGACTTCAGCTCCCATGATTCCTAACAGCTGGGATTTCTGGGAGTTGAAGTCCAAAACATCTGGAGGACTAAAGGTTGGGAACCACTGACCTGGAGGAATGCACATTCCCAAACACTGCCTTAGAGTGAGTGGGATTTGTCGATGGAGAACACAACTGGACTTCTTTTGTGTTGTGTTTAAAATACTACTCTCAGCTCCATAGTGATTGTTTGCTGGGTGGACCTCGCAGACTCCCATTTCTACCAACCCCTGGTAAAGGCCATGTAAAAATATTTAGTCTGAAGGTGCATCTACACTGTAGAATTAATGTCGTTTGATACCACTTTGACTATTATGGGCCAATGCTAAATTCATGGATATCGTAGTTTGATGAGGCAGAAATCTTCTTTGGCAGAGAAGACTAAAGACTTTGCAAAACTATAATTCCCACCACTCCACAGCATTGAACCATGGAAGTCAAAGTGGTGTCAAACTGCATTAATTCACCCTAAGACTTCAAACCAGGTATGGGCAAACTTCGTCCCTCCAGGTGTTTTGGACTTCAACTCCCACAATTCCTAACAACCTACCTACCGGCTGTTAGGAATTGTGGGAGTTGAAGTCCAAAACACCTGGAGAGACGAAGTTTGCCCATGCCTGCTCCAAATAGCGACTGCCTCCTTTACTCTCTGCAAGGAGAACAATGCAGCCGAATAGTCCCAATAGTCCCATCTTCTCTTCTCTCTGTTGCAGGAATAGAAGTAGTAGTATGTTGCTATTTGCTACTTTGCTGCCTCTGATATTCAGGCAGAATCTCCAAGTCTCCGAATCTCTGGAATGCTGACATGAATTTCCATATTTACCAATTTTCACAGAAACTGCAAAACAGATTCTGTCTGGAATACAGACAATTCACAATTTCTCCGGGGAAATTCTGCAGCTCTTCTCTGCTGGGTCTTCACATTACTTTGGTGATTTTTCAGATGACTTCATTTATATTATGGAAGGGATTTTCCTTCATTATGATCAACTCTAAATAGATTGTTAAAAGTTTTGGCTTCATACAAAAAGCTTTCCATAGTACTCCACTGCAGTTTTAATGGGGAACAGTGTATATAATTACAATTCCAAATTTCTGCTGGAATCCTGTTGGGCATTTCAATCTTTGTAAGTAGATTTATTTTTGCAGGAATTTGGGACCACATAGCCACATAACATTAATATCCAATCAAAGATTGTTGTTACTTTATTATGTAGCAAAGGGGAAATTGATATTGGTGCCCAATGCACAACAGGACTGATGTCCTTTCAGTCCCAACGGGCATTGCGTTGGTTTTGATGCACACTGGGCACCAATGCAAACTGGTACTGTTGGAAGTATCCCATTATCCATCTTCATTATTCATTAAAGGGATTCACTATGTAACTAGTTGAATGGAAAGTTACTTAAAATAATAGGTCATATAGGATTCCTGTGATTGCTATTTGTTGTTGTATCCCTTGTCATAAACGTGATGGCTAAAACTTTGTCATCATCTATTTAGTTAAGAATACTGATATACTTAACTAAGTAGCTGATATGTGTTGTCGAAGGCTTTCATGGCCAGAATCACTGGGTTGCTGAGAGTTTCATGGGCTGTATGGCCGTGTTCCAGAGACACCTTCCAACAAAGGATTCCCCCAGGCAGGACGCAGCCAGGCTTTGAAGCTGCAAGGCCATTCAATGCTAATCAAGGTGGCCAACTGGGGGCCCCGGTGGTGCAGTGGGTTAAACCCCTGTGCTGGCAGGACTGAAGACCGACAGGTCACAGGTTCGAATCCGGGAGAGACGGATGAGCTCCCTCTACCAGCTCCAGCTCCTCATGCGGGGACATGAGAGAAGCCTCCCACAAGGGATGATAAAACATCAAATCATCCGGGCATCCCCTGGGCAACGTGCTTGCAGACGTCCAATTCTCTCACACCAGAAGCGACTTGCAGTTTCTCAAGTTGCTCCTGACACACACAAAAAGTGGCCAATTGCAACATTCACACTTGCCTCCAACAGGCAAGAATTCTTTCTCCCACCCTGGAAATAATTCCTCAGATATATAAACCCCACTTCCCTAGTTTCCAATGGACCTCACAACCTCAGAGGATGCCTGCCATAGATGTGGGAGAAACACCTGGAGAGAATGCTTCTGGAACATGGCCATACAGCCTGGAAAACTCACCGCAACTAAGTAGTTGATACATGATTCCTTAAGTATTACTTTACTAGTTTCTTTAAGTATACTAAGTATATTTAACCAAGTAACTTTTCCTGGCGTTCCAAGTCCCCCAAATCTGATAGGATTATCAGTTATTTAGTTAAATATATTTTAATTTTAAGCACTTTAAAAGTCTTTTTGGGTCATGCCCCAACCTATTACAACAATTCCTATTTCAAAGAATGTTGTCATTTCTGTTCTCTTGAGAAATAAAGAGAGTGACATCCCCCAATAAAGCCCAATGCCAAATGACCCCTGCTTCACCC